CAGGGAGGCAGAGCCCAGACTCACCGGGTTTCCTGAAGATGTCCAGGGCTCAGTCCAGCCTGGGGCAACACAGTATGGGTGTGGCGGGTAGCCACCGAGGCCCCAGAGGGTGCCAAATTAGCATGTACATTAAAATTTTTTGAAATAACAGAGTAGGTTATTTGAGGAAGTATTTTAACTACTCCCTACTTTCTGTTTATCTTCTATTTTGCTGTGTGTGTGTGTGTGTGTGTGTGTGTGTTTACGTACATTGTTTTTCATACAAAAGAAACGATGCAGTATTTAAGCTTGTGTGTCAGGTTTATTTCACTTAACATCATATTCTCAACTTGCATCCATTTAACTACAAATACCTGAAGTTTATCTTTCATTATGGAAGTATAGTATTTCATTGTGTATAGTTCTTTATCCATTCATCTGTTTTTTCCATTTATCTATTGAGAGGCGTATGTTCTGTTTCTAAGACCTAGCTATTATAAATTGTACTGCTCATAAACATGGATATGCATGTAGCTCTATAATATAATAATGTTAACTCTTTTGGGAAGATATCTAGAAGGTATACCTGGGTTAAACGAAATTCCTAGTTTTAGTTTATTGAGAAATCTCCACACTGATTTCCACAGTGGTTGCACCAGTTTACATTCTGACCAGCACTATAGAAGAGTTCTTTTTCCCCACAGCCTTGCCAGCATTTGTTATTATTAGATTGTTTGATAACAGCCATTCCTTCTGCAATAAGCTGGACTCTCGGTGTAGTTTTAATTTGCATTTCTCTAATGGCCAGTGATGGTGAGCATTTTTCATGTATTTATCGGCCATTTATACTTCAGAGAAGTGTCTATTTATTTTGGTTGCATATTTTTTGATTAAGTCATTTATTTTGGGGAGTCTGATTTTTTTGAGTTCCTTATATATTAGTCCTCTGTCCTGGGAATAGCTGACAATAATTTTTTCCCTATTCTGTAGGTTGTCTCTTTACTCCATTGGTTGTTTCCTTTGCTGTGGAGAAGCCTTTTGATTTTATATGATCCCATTTGTTTGTGCTCTTGGGGTTCTGTTCAGAAAGTCCTTGCATATACCAATGTGTGTGCAAGGTTTACCTATTTCATCTTCCAGCAAATTGTTTCTGTTTAAACATTCAGATCTTTGATCCATTTTTGTTTTAGTTTAGTACATGTTGAGAGCTGGGTCTAGACCCAGTCTTCTGCATATTGATGTGCAATTTTCATATACTAATTTTATAAGATGAAACTACAGGTCTGTCTAGTGTCAGACATATGCTAATGTTATGGTCTGTGTCCAGAATTTGTTTTGTTTTGTTTTGTTTTATTTTTTGTCTTTTTTGTTTGAGACAGGGTCTCACTGCAGTTCAGGCTGGCCTTGAACTCACTTTGTAGCCCAGGCTGGTCTCTTAACTCACAACGATCCTCCTGACTCAGCTTCCTGAGTGCTGGGATTACAGTTGTGCACCACACCTGGCTTATTTTTGTCTTTTTGAGACAAGGTCTCGCTATGCAGTTCAGGCTGGTCTTGAACTCACTTTATAGCCCAGGCTGGTCTCAAACTTGCAGTGATCCTCCTACCTCAGCCTCCCGAGTGCTGGGATTACAGGTGTGGGCCACCACATATGGCTCTTTAAATTTTTTTTTTTTTTTTTTTTTTTTTTGAAGCTGGATGTGATGGCGCATCCCTATAATCCCAGCATTCAGGAGGCTGAGGCAAGGAGGATGGTTGGGAGTTCGAGGTCAGCCTGGGCTACATAGTGAGTTCAAGACCAGCCTGAACTGCACATCGAGACCCTGTCTCAAAAAAGACAAATACATAAATAAATAAATATTTTTGTTTTGTTTGCTTTTTTGAGACAGGGTCTCACTATGTGTCCAGAATTTGGATTTGAATACCACCCTTACTCCCAGAAATTTCATCTGTAGCTAATCAGTTAGCAGTAATCTAAGATTGCAAAGGTCTTGGAATATTTACTTTTTTTCCTCTTTGTTTTTTTTTGGTTTTTTTTTTTAAGGAGGGAAACATTAACAGACATACAACATTTTACAACATATCACAAGCACAATACAGACAATACAGAGTTACAATTCCTCTTTGTTTATTGCATGAGAAATGCACCGTTAGAAAGAGATGACAATAATGTCCCATAACTAAAAAGTCCTTTAGGCTTATCGAGTAAGTGCCTTCATATGTATTAAGATCAACTTTGTAGATCAATTTTTGGACATGTGAGTGCACACCTATAATCCCAGCACTCAGGAGGCTGAGAAAGGAGGATCACTGAGAGTTTGAGGACAACCTGAGCTACATAGCAAGCCCGACTCAAAAAAAAGGTCTGCTTTGCGAGTCTGATTTCTTCACGTGTCCTTATTTTGTACCTGAGCTCACAAAATTAACTGATAGTACAGATGACCTAAATTATTGATCCACTGACTCCTTGTGTCCATCCGCTAAGATTTTGTGCCCTCCCTTGAGTTTTACTCTTCATGACATTGACCTCTGCTAAGCTCTCTCTCGTCTGGACATCCAGTTGTCATCCCCTTCGTGACTAATAAGATGAAATTTTGAAATGACTGGGAAGGGTAAAAGGAACTTTGTCTGTGAAACACGGCTTGAAAAAATAAAAATAAGTAAATATAACGTGGAAATATTTAAGTTCAAGCAGATACCTCACCGATTTGACCCTCTTAGTAATCTTCTTTAACCAAGCACATAACAATGGGTAGCCCCATCTATAAGAATGAAAACAGGATAGTTCCAAGTATACATCCGTTTTTCCAGTTGAATGAATCATATTTGGAAATAGGCCTTCACGTAGTTACAAAAAAATTATGAATATAGAGCTGGAGGTGTATCTCAGTGGTCAGGTGCTTGTCTAGCATGTCCCAGCCCGTGGGTAAAATCCCCAGCACCAAATCAAGGAAGGGAGTGATGAATGGAGTTAATTTCGTACCTGAGTAACTTAGTACATACATCTGATTTTTGTATGAATTCTTCATACACTCAGTTACTGAATTTTCCTGCTTGCTGAATTTTACCTGTTATTTATAAAATTCACCCACAAGTTCCTTTCAGTGAACAATATGAGGTCGTCCAGAATTGGTGTGGTTGATTTATGATTAAATGTGTTTGTCTAGCATGAAGCCTTTTTTAATGGTCCTCAAAGTAATTTGTTTTTGAGTTTTAAAAAAACTGCTAAGACACACACACACACACACACACACACACACACACACACACACTCTCAGCTTTGGTATTGAAAACGTATCAATATAATTACAACAGTGTGCAGTAGCACTTGTGCAGTCCAATTAAAATATTAAGAATCTGTGTATCCAGCTTATCAATTTCAAAAAGTCTAAGGTTGGTGAGTTCAGTGACTGGGTTATTCAGTAATTAAATGGTGTTGTTCAGCTAAAATACATACAGTGCAATTTACTTTTAAGTTTTTCTGAGATGAGAAGTTGTAGTTTCACATTCGCTTCAGCTTCCTAAATATGGCAAATGAACCTGTACCAACAGGCTCCCTTGGAACACACTTAAACTTCAGCAAAACAGAAGACAAGTTAAGTAACCTTCATCAGCTTTAGCTCTCCAGCATAACTGCTGTTGTCACAGAATCTTTTACTAAGGGTAATAACAATATACAGTTGAGTGGCCTTGATTCTCTTCTGTGAATAACTTATTTTTTGATAAATAGTCATGAAACAGTGAAGGTTTTTGGTAAGTTGTTTTGAGATTTTTTGAGGGTTTTTGTTTTCATCTTTTTAAAACTACTCACTGGCAAGTACAAAGTCCTCAGTTTAATTCCTGGTCCAAAAAAAAATCAATCATAAAACTATTTCAGCAAGACCATTAAAACATTGCATTCCACCAGACATACGAAAAAAATTTTTCCCCTCATGGCTTTTTACTCTTTACTCATTTACTAGTTCATTCACTCTGTTCTCCGTTTGTTTTGGTGTGGAAGTGCAGACCCACGGCCCGTGCACCCGAGCACAAGGCTGCACTCCCTGCCGTACTCCTCCTGAGGTTGGGCCCTTTCTTTTTCTGTCTTCATTACTTTTTATGGTATGCCTACTCTCCTAACATCAAAAAGTAAAATTTAACAAAAGTTTTTAAAAGGATATTTTCCAAATGAGATGATGTATTTTAACATGTCATGTTTGGGAATTTTTAAATGAGGGGCCCTAAGTGTGTTTTTAGTCACTTACAATTGGTTTGTCTGTGCACTGCTAAAGGCACTGTATCAGTTAATAGCGTACTTTACTAAATCGCTTTGATCTTGTGAATTCTAAGGATCAAAAATATGTGTATGCCCTTGAATTAAGAAAAGCTACTTACTTGAAAACATGCGTTTCTCAAGAAAAAAAAAGTAATTTATTTTATAGCACTATTCATAATAACTGACACCAACCAAAATTTCCAGTGATGAGGTAACAGCTAGTTAAGCAAATTAAGGTATAAACAGATAAATATTAATGTAGTAATTAATAGCATTATCAAAGACTGTAAAACCGTGGTGGTGAAGGGAGATAAAATAAACAAGAATGTACATTAGAAGCACATTTTCTCAAGATACAGAAGCTTGTGGACAAAATCTAAAGAATATGTAAACATGAAAATAGTTGTTACCGTTTTTCCTCTTTGTTTTCTTAGCTTCCTACACTGTTGTATTGATAATGAAAGAGGTTTTGTTTTGTTCAATGTTTTAGGTTAATAAGTAACCAGTCTATGTTCAAAGCTGAACAAAAATGTTCATGTAAATTTATTTAACAAGTTACTGTGATTTTTCCTTCAAAACATTGTCAAGATTGAGAGTTAACCCATGTTATTTTGGGTGCCTTTGGCTTTGAACAGGTACCACTCAGTGGCCGAGACCAGGAGGACAGGCTCCTTCATCCCCAAACTATGAGAACTCGCTCCACTCCCTGGTAAGAGCCTTTGCAGATCTTTGCAGGTTCACAGGATTTTATCTGTACATAACTTGATCTTTTTTTTTTTTTTTTTGAGTAATTCTTGGGTAACAATGAAGAAACAGTAGGCTAGCTTACACACAAATTCTTTGCTAACAAATGGCCTGACTTAGCGGAACAATACAAAACACACTGGGTGTGCCTTTTCCCATCTGTTCTTGCGGACATCAGGCAATTCTGATGTCAGAACAGCTGCTGTTAAAACAGTGTTACAGGACTCTTGTTTCTTTGACAACTCTTGGGCTTAATTTTTCTATACTTTCATGTTTATAAGGAAAAGCTTTTTAAAAAGATGTCATGCAGAAATATATATACAGTTTATTACATTTACATTAAAATTTTAAGTGAGTATCAATTACTTTTCTCATGGAAATGTCATTTCCTATGTGTTCTTATAACCAAGACTGTAGTGTGTAAATCAGACAAGGAAAACATTGTCTTATCAGACAAATAGAATAAAGGAACCTACTAGGTGAAGGTGAAGAATTTGTGGTAGAATGTTAACCACTGTTGCTTTTATATGCTTAAATTTATAACCTATGGTTACAAAGTACAAAAGAAACGAAATATTGATGGCGCACGCCTGTAATCCCAGCACTTGGGAGGCTGAGGCAGGAGAATTGTTTTGAGTTCGAGACTAGCCTGGACTACAAAGTGAGCTCAAGGCCAGCCTGAACTGTATAGCAAGACCCTGTCTCAAAAAGACCAAAAAAAAATTTTTAAAAGGTGATCTAATGGAATGCTTAAATTATACTATCATTTAATAATTGCAGTTTGCAAATAGAAATGTTCTTTTTTGTGACTAACAGAACATTTTAAATTCAGGAAGTTTTCTTCTCATGTATTTTGTGAGCAAATATAAGCAATGTGTGCTATTTAGATGCTAACCTTGTAACCTCCCTGTTAAAATTCCAGCCTTCTCATACCTTAATACACATAGGTTTCTCAGATCTCCATGTTAACTTTACTAACATGTTATGCCAACATGCACATCAGCTATTTTCTCATCTCTTTTGGAGTTAATCTTAACCTGTGCTTTGCCTCCTGTTCTGTCTTGACTTTGCCAGAAAAATCGAGTTGAACAGCAACTTCACGAGCATTTGCAAGATGCAATGTCCTTCTTAAAGGATGTCTGTGAGGTACTATTTCTTTTAGATGGTGCCTTTTTTTGTGTGTTTCAATTACATATCCTTCCATTACCTATTTAAAATCTGTACAGACTCCAGAGTCTTAAAAGCAAGCACCTGACCATTTCAGTTTTCATAACAATATATAAGAATAGACTTTTGTCTCTTACGTTGTTGAGAATGATTTTTTTTAAAAGAGCTCTACTGGCATGTGCTTTTGATTTTTAAAATTCTAATGTTTGTGTATGGGGCATGTATATGTGTATATCCACAGACAGACAGTGTCATTTCTCTTCACTTTTGTTAAAGAGAGTATATGGATGTGTTTACCAATAAAGATTGGTATGTTTTACTCACCTAAAATAAAATTACAGCTTAAATTGATGGATTTGAGGACCCTTTCCCAAACTGACGTCTTTCTAATTAAAGTACAGTTTATTATTTTTATTGTCTATAATTATTGACATAGTAGCATTCATCTTTTGTAGAAGCTAAAAGAAATAACCTCATAGTAGTTTGGTAAAGTTGTCTTACAAAAGTAGTAATTTGTTTCTGAACCTACACGTAGCCTTTCTTTTTTTGTTGTCGATTTGTAGTACAGGTAGTTCGTTTTGAAGCTGCTTGATATTCTGTTTCACTTGCAATCTTTCATATATTCCAAAGTAAAATACATAGCAGCTTGATAAATTAAATAGATGTTAGCAGTGACCTCCATGTTTGTTTCAATCCTTACAGCAGTCTCGCATGGAGGATCGTTTGGACAGACTAGATGATGCGATCCATGTGTTGCGGAATCACGCTGTGGGACCTTCCACCAGTTTACCTGCTGGTCACAGTGATATTCACAGTTTATTGGGACCATCCCATACTGCACCAGTTGGAAGCCTCAGTTCAAACTATGGAGGATCAAGCCTTGTTACAAACAATCGATCGGCTTCAATGGTAAGGTAGCCCTCATCTTCCTCGTAATAACCCTAAAGACTGCTGCCCTAAGTGTTTCCATGAAACCTTTGGGGAAGAGTCCCTTCAAAAGGGAGGTAAAGAGAGGCTTTAAGTTTCCCTTATCGTCTGGGCAGTTATTGGGTAAGCATTGACCTATAAAGTCCTGTATGAGTATGTACAAGAAGCAGCAGCTTTCTACAGATAGCATTTTAGCTTAAACCTCCATTTCATTTTTCCAGATGTGTAAACATTAACACAACAGTTTGTGCCTTGGAATAGTGGGCAGAAAGTTTGAGTAACAGTGCAGTAAAATTAGGCTAAATTTCAAGGAATATATTGTAGGAAAACTGTTCATTATGCTTTAGAATCTACCTTCAATAGCAGAAAAAAATGTGAAACTTTACACAAGTTCAAATTTAAACTTTACTTCTAAATGAAATAAAAATGGGTTAATTTTAAAAACAGCTAGAATTGAAGTAACAAAGTAAGGAAACAATTTTAGATTAATCCCTCAAAAGAGTAAAATAATTCAATCCATATTTGAAAAAATGTGGTAATCCTTGGGGACAGGATAAGCTTCTACAACCAACCCTTACACATCAGAAATTCTGTTTGGAATGTCTAACATTATTTTCTATCTAGGTTGCTTTTAAAGGAGTAAAATTCTTTTTGAACCTGCTATTTAATTAATACCATGTGTTTGCATGTCTATGGCATGGTTCTTAACATTCACTGCCTCCTGAGAAATACTCTATTAAACAGATTTCTAGCTGTAAGCCATGTGATCAAGGCTAAAAGTCACCTATCATCAAAATAAGTAGGTGTCCCAAATGCTGAAGACTTGTGTTCTGTAAAATAGGTTTGGTTCCAGATTTCCAAAGTCAAGCATTAATCAGCCATTTATATTCATTTCGAGTACCCCAAGGTAAACATCAGACAAGGCTTCCTGGCTTGTGAGACCACTGTTTTCCACAGCCCAGTGATACCAGATTCCTGCATGTCTTCACAACAGCATGGTTTTGTTGTTTTGTAACATCAGAAAACTTGAAATTTAGACTCCTTTTAAATTAGTGTTTAGTGCTGTTTAATAAACTGGTAATTGTAAAAATATTTATGAAGTATTGAAATACAAGGGGGGCTACTAGTAGTATTAGTGAAGTCACTCTAATGGTATAAAATCAATAGGAGGGGCCAGGGATCTAGCTCAGTGGCGTAAGTGCCTGCCTGGCAAGCACAGGGTCCTGAGTTCAATTCCTAGTCCCCCGCCCCCCGAAACAAAAAAAAGTTAAAATCAATAGGATTGTATTGTGCAAATAGGAATCTAGAATACCAAACTAATAATTTGTTGACATACTACATTTATCCTTATTTAGAAGAATGACTTAAAAATCAATGTACTTGAATCCCCTCAACTGCAACATTTGAATTTCTTACTTCATTTTTTAATCATAATTTTCTGTCTTAGTAACTCACTGCTTTTATTCCAACTTATCTCCTGTAATATTTGATACCTCTGTCTCCTCCCAACTAAATGTGGAATTCATGTAAAATGAAATTTCTGTCTTGGGGAAGTTATTTATGCCAACTTGGATGTGCCTTAATTTTAAAAAAAAGATTTTTCAAAATCTAGTCCTCCAAAGTCATGTAGAAAGCTAGTACATTTTAAAAGGACTGGTAGAGGGAGTCTTTGGGGTGCTTTAGTTTGATTTGGTTTGTTTTTTTGGTTGGGGGTGTTGGTGGTATACTAAGGATTAAACCCAAGGCTACCACTAAGCTGGATTCCTAGATCTTTTTCTTTTATTTTGAGACAGTGTCTCACTACATTGCCTAGATTGGTCTCAAATTTGCCATGCTCCTGCCTCAGCCTTCCAACTGCTGGGAATACAGGTGCGCAACACCACACCCAGCTTGAGAGAATAATTGTTTCATTAGATATTGTCCTGAAACTTTTAGTTCAGAAAATAGTTCCTAATACATCACCTACAGATGTCCCAACCTACTTGCCTACTTCAGAAAATTAACCAAAAAACTGCTAGAGGTAGCCTTTTTTTTCTGGAAGCATGCCTTCTTATGGATGTGTTTTATTTTTTATTTTATTGGCACATTTGAGATATATATAACGATAACATTGATCATAGGTAGACATAGTCTTAGAAGAAAACAGTCTCAAAAGTAGTCTAGGAAAAGGATCTAGTGAGATGCTGGATGGCTCTGGCATGGTTGGAGCAGCATCAAGGCCCCAGAAGGTAAAGCCACGCTGTTGCTCAGTGTGTCTCTCAAGACACAGTATATTTTCCATTCTTACGTCCTGGTGAGAGGCACACGCCCGTTAAAACCTTGCCAGACATCATCTGCGGCTCCGAGGCTCTCACTAGTACTTCCCGGCAGTGAAGAGCCTGTATTTCTGCCAAGTTTATGCTCAAAATAGAAAGTAAGTAGTTGACAAAATTTGACACTGTCAGGTGAGTCAGTATTCATCTCCCACTTGTCAGAGGTCAGCTTTTCATCTGAGAGTCGTTCTTGCTTTCAAAAAAGATCAAATGATGGGACATAGGGAAGAACAAGGTCAGTCAGTGACTTCAAGCTGAGGGGCACCTGTTGCTGGTGAGATGGTACCCTAACTCCAGGCTGAGTTGGCCAGACCGTTGAGGACCGTAGCACTGTGACTCCCACTGAGTCAGGCATTTGGCTGGGGAGGACTCCGGGGCACTTACGGCCCAGCGTCCTTTGGGTGATCATGGAATCCCCTTGCCCGTGTGCTCGACAGCCACCTGTATGGAATCAGCCTTTCATATTCTTGACAGGTGTGTGATTTTGGTACCAGCAGTGGCTTTCGTCTTGCAGTGCAAACAAGTCAGTGATTGACTACCTGTATTATAAAGTCTTCATATCAGAACTTGTCCTTGGTCAGGGAAACGGCTGGTGCTGAGAACAAGCTCTCTCTGGTTGGTTTGTTTCTTGGGGGGCTGGTGGGTTGGTTGGATTGGTTTCGTTGGTTTGTGGTGGTGTAGTTGTACCCAGGGTGCACTGAGCCACACTGCAGCCCTCTGCGTTGCTCTGAGTTGTAACCGAATTATGCCTTTAAAGTTATCTATGCCTGACAGGGTTGATTTGTAAGAGATTCATCTTACTGCCTTAGAATGAAATAATTGTCTAGTAGTTTTAAGCATTCTAGAAGAGACTGACATTTTAGACAGAGGTGTTAAGACTGTCACCAGAAATACACATTAATAGAGGTCAGTATTAAGAACTTAACGTTTGCTGTTGTTTCTTTTAACAAGACATGCTTGACTGCAATAATACCAGAGTTTAGAATTTAATAGAATTTCAGTTAGAGAAGACTTTTCACATATTTTAGCTACTGAATATACATAAAGATTAAATTCCCTGAAAGCTGATTATATCAGAAGAAGAAACCACTTTACCACTGAACTACATCCCTAACCTTTGCTTTTCTTTTTGAATGGAATTAGTTTTTGTTTACTTAATTTTTTATTCCTATTCAGTATTCTTATGATTCCTCTATATTTGCCTAAAACAAATATAAAACTTAAGACTTTCTGTCAAATACTCCAGTGTGTGAACTTGATGTGTCATTTTAATTTTAAAACACAAAGTCAGACTTTTTAGAGCTATTGTAATGTCAGCACTGGGCTTCAGGTTTGTTCCCATTTACTTAATATAAGAGTAAACTTTTGGAATAAACTGGTGACAAGAAAATTCAGTGAAAAACTGAAAATGAATGGAATCATTTCATGTGGGCATTGCACGGAAGTCTCACCAGCATAAAAGTTACTGTACATCCCATTTGATTGTGGATGTGACACTGAAGTAGCGAGGCTCAACAAGAGCTTAGCTTCAGAGTAGCGCTTCTGTCTGTAACAGAATGTTTAGTTATGCCTCAGTCAGACCATGATTTCAACTGAAGACCGAGCTGAGATTAGAATTTGGTATACTAATAGCAGCTTGATGTAGAAGAAACAGTACAGAACCATGCATGGGGTCTTCTGATTTCATGAAAAACCCTAAGGAAATGTAATCAAAGCATTTTAATTTGGGGGGTATTCCTGGAGATTTTTATTCTTAGGCAAATGGCATATTTTATTCAAAATTACTTAAGCATCTCTGTTATCAAAATAGATTTAGAATCTGTTTTCCATCTGAATAGTAGTTAATTTTAGTAGTATGGATTTGTATATTGCAGAAAACGTGTCAGTTTCATCTGAATAGAGGATTTTAATGATGACTGCTGTGTTACCATTTCAGCCTAGTTTTTTCCTAAATTGACAATTCCTAAAATTTTTATTTTGATTAAGGTACATTTTGGTGCTTTGTGTTTCATTAACATTTTAAAATTAAAAATTGTTCAAAATGGCAACTTTTTGAAAGTTAGGAAACCAGAAGAGTTACGCATTTTTGGAAGCATCATTTAAAAAAGAAGCATAAGAAGTTGTATACTACCACTTCTCTATAATAGAACTTCTCTTTAAATAAAATACCTTAGGGTAGACAGTTGATAAAGACCCTTTAATCCATCTATAGATTAAAATACTGAATGATTTAAACCATTAGTATCCAGTGAAAAGTACAAATTGAACAAATTACTAGAATGGCACTCAAAATCAGAGGAATTCATACTAAGTTTCATTTGGTCGCTTAATTCACAATACCTTCTATTCATAAACTAACCAGATTTAACGTTTTTCCATTGTGAGTGCTAAGGCGTTTGGCTGGGTTAAATGCAAACAAGTGCCTTGTGGGGTGTGCCGACAAAGTCAGGCCGTACACAGACTGCGAAGGCTCAGTGTGCAGCATGATGTCATTTAACGGGATGGGCCTTCTGTTCTGAAATAAGGCTTTTCATAATAATAGAAATTTAAAGCGTAGCAGGCAAGAGCTTTGCCTTCTCTGATACACCTCCTTCAAGGCAGCCTGTCAGCTGTATGCTAACGAGCTGGACAATGAAACCGGGTCCTATCTGGCTGGTCCAAGGCTCCAGGCTCAAAGAACTGTTTATCCACCTGTTGTGCTTGAAGTGGGTGTAGAACAGCAGATAAAGGGAGAGTGTGGAGCCAGTGTAAGGGTTAGGCAGAACTGTAGCACTGTGACATTCTCTACAAAATATATGAGGCCATTTGCAAGGTGAATCAAGTTACAAAGAAAAAGTTCCTGCTAACATGAAAAACGCCAGACTTAAAGCTTTCAGCTTGTCTGAGACCATTGTTAAAGGTTTGCATTTGTACTATGTTCTCCAGATTCTTCTGAAACCCAGTCATGTAAGTTGGTATGAAAAAATACTTAGTTTGTATTCCATAGAGGCAAAAATACTTGCTGGAATTTATATTACAAAACAAATCAAGTAATTCTCATGATTTTCCCTAAGGGAAAGACAGAATCCTTAAGATTTATTGTTTAGATAATAGTCCTGTGTCTCCAAGCCTTTCATTAAGAAGAAGGTGATAGGATATTTTTATTAGTTAAGTTTCAGAGAAATAAAAAAAAAATTTATACTAATAAAATAAATCAGAATTTAACAGGTATATTTTCCCTTAGTTGAGTGAAAATTCAGTTTTTATTGTTTCAAGATACTGTCCTTCAGAACTGTAAAATGGTTCACATGTATAATATGTAGTGAATAAATGTTTTTAATATGATAGTTTAAGCTCCTAGCTAAGAACAGAATTAACACATATTACCAGAGATTATGGAAAGTTTTAAGTCCATGCTATTATAAATACAAACAAACATCTCAGCTGTCCCTTCAGCCTGCAAAATTTTCCTAAGCCAATTAAGATTGTCTTAGTGATATGTTATCTTTAGAATAGGCCCAGGCTTCTAAAGTTCCAAGCTATATATTCTAAGGTTGCAGCTCTATATTATGTTTATCCCACGTCTATTTTTATAAAATGGATTTTGAACTGATTTTCCGTGTAGATCAGTGAGTAGCCCATAGTTAGCAAGACACCCTCATGTGTTAAGAACACACATGGCCAAGATGCCTGCCTGGGAGACAGGATTTCATGAAACATTTTAAAAATAAATGTCTCTCGATTAGGGTTTTTAGTCCACTTTTTCACTGGTTATAAGGATATGTATTTCAGGTTGTTTCTTGGGATACCAGAATGAAACCAAGGGCCAAACTAAACTATAACCTCAGCCTCCCCAATGCCCTTTTTTCGTTTTTGTTTTTTTTTTAAATTTGAGACATGGTCTAGTTAAGTAATGAAGTGGCCGGCACTGGGCTCAGATTTGCAGGTTTGTGGTCCTCTTGCCTCAGCTTCCCAGAGCACTGGGATTACAGGCATGCTCCACCATGCCCAGCCTTCAGATTTTTTTTCAAATGCTTTGAGGGAAGGGGAAATATAAGGCTAAAACTTACAGTGGTGAGAAGGGGATTGGAAGGCAGCTGTCAATTCTACAGTCCCCTTTATGATTCTAATCCATGATGAAGTTTATGTGGCTTTAAAAAAAGGACATAGTCAGTTCTTGAATATCCACACAAGGAGTGTCACAAGTAATTCTCAGCAATGACTGACCCTCTGGTAATTTCAGAAGAAGCCACGGAGTACAGTACATGGGTTTGTAAAGAGTGTGTTAAGGATGAGAATAAGGGTGAGAGACAAACATTTCTTTAAAGTTTGGGAGAAAAACCAGTGTAGTCTATTCAGCCCCACAGCCAAAAGGTCTGCACTGCCTAAAGCTTTGCTCGGGTTCTTTTTGTTTGACTCACAGAAAACCAAAGGGTAAACTTGTATAGGGACATTTATACTTCTTAGGGTAAAATTCATATAGTCATAAGATACAAAAGCCATATTAATTACTCAAGGAGTTAGCACTGACAGTTTTTGAGGATTGAAGGATTTACTGAGAAACGGTTGTTTTTAGGTATAACTCCAGGCAATAAAAAGCTTCTCTATCAGAAGTTTTACTGAAAATACTGCAACAGCTAAATATATAGTCATGTTTGCATGATTTTTTTTATTTCAAGTTAATATGGCTTTAATACATTTGATTAAAGTTGCTGCCTAGCAATGCAAATTTTTTTCAAGTTACTGTATTTTGTTTTGCCTTTGCCACTCTTGAAAACTATCGAGGAGAGGCAGTTAGAGAAAGAAAAAATAAGATGCTGTATGTGTTTAGGTGTCAACTTTAAATAAATATTATTAGTTCTTAGAGTGTAGCAGTATTTTGTTAAATAGAAGGCCATATAAGGGGCTGGGGATTTAGCTCAGTGGCACAGCGCCTGCCTGGCAAGCGCAAGGTCGTGAGTTCGGTTCCCGGTACCAGAAAGAAGAAAAAAAAAAAAAAAAAGAAGGCCATATACATTTTAAATTACCAGTATTTAGGTAGTACATGACGTACGATTTGGGGGGCCAGGGATGGAGCTCCTCAGCACAGCACGTGTCTGCCTGCCTGTCAAGCACAATGTCCTGAGTTCGATTTGTAGTATCCAAAAAAAGAAATATATGGTCTTGAATTCATGTAGGATCAATAACAGACCTTTATGTATGGCCTTACAGCATACAAAACACTTTATCTCTAGTAGCTCATTTGGCTTCTTGTAAAAACCTTTGTGGAATTTAAAATCTGGAAATTGTATTTTTTTTTTTTATTTTTATTTTTTTTGGTTTTTCTCCGGTACCGGGAACCGAACTCACGACCTTGCGCTTGCCAGGCAGGCACTTTTGCCGCTGAGCTAAATCCCCAGCCCCTTGTACTTTTTTTTTTTTTTTTAAAAGTCATATTTGGATTTGAAAACCAGAAAAGTGGCATCTAAACAATGTCTTCAAATTGGGGTGAGTGTTACTGTTTTCTGTATTAAACCCTGGAAAAGAGTTTAGAGAAAACTGGATAAAAGGATGTGTACTTGTAGTTCAGCCACTCAGGAAGCCAAGATAAGGAAGCATAGGCCCAGGATTTGAGGTCAGCATGAGCAACATAGTGAGACCCAGTCCTCCCCACATCCCCAAAGAAGTAACAGTCCTGACCTCGTTTTCTGTTGTTTTCACTTTAGGTTGGAGCTCATCGGGAAGATTCTGTTAGTCTCAATGGCAATCATTCAGTCCTGTCTAGTACCGTCGCTGCTTCAAGCACAGACCTGAACCATAAAACACAAGAAAACTATAGAGGTAGCTGTATTTCAGTTTTTAGCAGCAACACAGATACCATTTGGAATACTGTCGTCACGTTCGCAGAGAGAACAAACGTCTGTGATGAGCAGTCCTGGGGCGGGGGATCCCAAGTAGCGATGTTGCTGCATGAGTGTGGGGAGGTACCAGGTCCCATCTGCACAGTAATGGGTACGCCCTGACCGACAGAGCCATGTGCACACTGTCACTTTACGTATGAGGTTTGAACCTGCTCCTTCTTTTGTCTTGTCTGTTCCTCCATTGCTTCTTGTGAATGACCCTGTGCATGATCCCTAGGGACAATGAGAGAGTTATTTCTAAGTATATTAAAAACTGAACGATGCCGGGCATGGTGGCACACACCTGCAATCCCAGCACTCGGGAGGCTGAGGCAGGAAGATCGCAGTGAGGTCGAGGCCAGCCTGGGCTACAAAGTGAGCCCAAGGCCAGCCTGAACTGCAAGTGAGACCCTGCCTCAAAAAGAAAAAAAAAACTGAGTGATGATAACTAGTGTTTTGAAGATTGTAATTTAATTGGAGATGCAGTTTTGATTAAAAAAAAAAACAGATTGCTAATACTGTTGACAATAAAGCTTATAAATAAGTATAAATGTAGAGGTAATATTAAGACCACCAAAATAAAGTTCTCCCAGTTACATTTAACTGTGCTGCCTATTTTGTTGTTTATCTGGGAAAACGCTCACTTCCTTTAGCTTGACAGCATCTTAGAAGTTAGTTTCTAAAGTACATCAAGTTTCTCAACCTTAATTACTTGGTAAGCAGTGCCTGAAAGTAAGCACTGGATAATCATCGTGGTTGGGCTTGTTCTTTTAAATACAAGTACTATGAAATCATACAAAGAATTTGGACATGCTTTTCCCGGCTTTGAGTACTGTACTTTCCTACATACTCACATTTCTGTCATACTCCTGCAACAACTAAGGGCGTTCACCATCCAGAGAGCTCTTTACTCTCTTCGCTGGAACTGACAAGTGAGTCCGCTGGTTTGTTTCCTTTGCCTCTTTGTAGGTGGCTTGCAAAGTCAGACTGGAGCTGTCATTCCAACAGAAATCAAGACCGAAAACAAAGAGAAAGATGAGAACCTTCATGAACATCCTTCATCAGATGACATGAAATCAGATGATGAATCCTCCCAGAAAGATATCAAGGTCTCATCTAGAGGCAGAACAAGGTATTTGTTAGTATCCAGGTTTAAATTTTACTCGTTTGTTACAAGTGGAAGGACTTGGGCAGTTGAAGCATTATTGTGTGTTCATTAACTGCCAGCTGTGTTCTAGATACTGTGTTGGGAATTTTTATATATGTTTGTCCTGTTTAATCTTCACATTATACCTACAAGGAAATCTATGAACGTTTGATTCCAAAATTATGTTTTCCATTATGCCATACCATTTTAGAATCTGCATGTAAAAAAGAATTACATCACTTGCCTCAAGTTGCTCAAGTCTGTGAGACAATCAGAGGAAAAATAGCTGTGATAGGTTAAACTGCGTGATGCAGACGTTTAGATACATTCAACTAAAAAAAATATTTTGTATATTAATTTAGGACTTAGAGACCACATGCTGGGGATACAGCTCAGAGGCTCAAGTGCCTGTCTGGCATGCTCAAGGTCCTGAGTTTGATTCCCGGTACAAAAAAAAAAAGACTTATACACCACAACGATATATGTGCACCCATGTTTATAGCAGCACAATATGTCATAGCAAAATCTTGGAAACAACCCAAATGCCCATCAACTGAGGAATGGATAAAAAAATGTGTGTTTTTATACAATGGAGTACTACTCAGCTATAAAGAAGGATAAACTGGAGACATTTATAAGGAAATGCGTGCGACTTGAGCCCATACTTACGAGTGAAATAAATCAGTCTCGCATGTGTAAACATCATCAGTCTCTCATGTGTAAACATCAGTACTAGACAAGAGGTGAAACACCCCTAAGAATCTGAAAGAGTAAATAAGACTCAAAATGTACAGTAGGTATTTTGAAATGGAAGAAAATGCTCAAATGGAAGAGAAACAGGAATGGGGTAAAGGAGAAAAGAAGGGCCAAGGAAAATACAAATATATGTATATAGATACACACAGATGAGATAGTTATACTACTAATTGCTGCTAGCTCATTGCAAAGAAAGGTTTATGCTTATATTGCTCAATCAATTTTTCATGCCTTTATCTTGTAATACGAGCAACTGCTTTAAAGATAACAATACGCAATGTACTAACCATTGTTACTCTCCTACAGTCTTGTTTTGAAATCTTATATCATTGTCTTTATTATTTTTTCTTTTAAATAAAAATAATAGGGCTGGGGATTTAGCTCAGCGGCAAAAGCGCCTGCCTGGCAAGCGCAAGGTCGTGAGTTCGGTTCCCGGTACCGGAGAAAAACCAAAAAAAAAAAAATAATAATAATAAAAAAGAAAAAAATGTCAAGAAAAGAATTACATCATAAGATTCTTGTTTAGTTAAAACTAGTTGTTAATAAACTGTGGCCACTGGGCTAGTAGAAGACAGCTTACCGGGCTTATATTTATACAGGAAGTTTTATTGGAATACCACCACATCATTTGTTTTTGTGCCGTCTGTGGCTGCTCTTGCTTTACATTGGCAGACTTGAGTAGTTGCTGCAAGAACCATATGGCCCACAAAGCTGAAAATATTCACACCTGGCCCATGACAAAGTTCGCTGGCTCCTCATTTAAACAATAATTTGAAAAAAGGATGGAAAAGAGCCCTAAGTGAGCTGAAGTTGCCAAAGTTTTCTAGAAACTGGATTTGACTTTGCTTTTAAGCATTAATATAAGTACATAGTACATTTTCAGATGATTTCCAGATTCTTCAGATTTTTATTCTACTGCTAATCAAAATTAAAATGATTTCGTATAGTATTTGTGGTACATACTATCTCTTGGTACATGTATCTATTTGTACATAACATACAGATACTTTCACAGTTACTTATGCATATACATAAAATACAGATAAGTTTAAAACATTGTTTCATGTATTAAATTATGGTGCAAAATTTACAGTGAGTATGGTAGATATGACTAGAAGAAGTAACATGTTCCTTCCTACCATTCAGGTACTTTCTTCCTGGTACTAGGGACTGAACCCAAGGCCTTCACACTGAGCTGTTTTCCCAGCTCCCCTTTCCCCCCTATTTGAGACAGGGTCTCTCTCAATTGCCCAGGCTGGGCTTGAATTTGTAAACCTCCTGCCTCAGCCTCCGAGAGTGCTGAGAGTACAGGTGAGCACCATCACACCTGGCTTTATTCACATACTTTAAAGATGTCCTTTTGCCTTTTGACGTTCTCACTATTTCTAATGCCTAAACATTTTCTCCTGGGAAAAATGAAGTTTAAGATCTTGCTGCTGTCATTTTAATTCATTGTACTCAACCAAGGAATGTAAATAAGGAAGTAAAAACAGGCTAATGGAATCCAGAGGCCATTCCTTTTGAAGCCTCTTAACTAGTTTTATTATTCATAAAGAATTTTAAGGGAGGTCATTTGCGTGTGTCCTTCTCTGTACCTGCACATCAGGAGTCAGGAAGCCCTGTCTGAAGAGCCAGCTGACTGTGAGTACTGCAGGCTTTGTGGGCCACGTTGTCTCGGTCACACGTCCCCATTTCTGCCATGCAGCCTGAAAGAGTACAGAAGCGGTGAGCGTGGCTGGGCCAATCCAATCTTCCTTACAAAAGCAGGCCGTGGGTTACCGTCCCGTAGTGTAGGTCATCAGAAATTGAGAGGCAGTGGAATAGGTTCATACCAATTAATAGGTTACTCACATCACCTTTGCACAAAGTTAGGCTGACTTGAATCAAGGCATCATTACCTACTAGTGGCCCTGGACAACTTACCAAAGCTCTTGGAGACCAGTTTCTCCTCCTCCAAAAGTAGGCTTTGTGGTGGTATTCTTGTGGAAACAGCCAGGAAGTGAGACGCATGAAAACCCTTGGTGCACTGGCGTACCGTACGCACTGAGGAAGGGCACTGTGCCAGTGTGACGGTAGTGTTGGTGTGGTTACAGGTCTGCTTGTGGTGAGCACGGCCTGCTTTCCTGTTCTGTGCCACCAACCAGTCAGCGGTGTGATTTCAGGGTGGCTGATTTCCCAGATTCTCAGTGGTTCCCAAACCAGCTGCGACCCTTGGAATGCTTTGGCAGTACAGGTCCCCGGTCCAGCCTTTACGAGGAGACCCGGAGGCTGTCTTTATGGGTCCCTGGAGAGCCTGGCGAGCAGCTCAGTTTGGACACCTTTGGACCAGGTGATTTAAGGCCCACTGAAGTTAAAAAGCCGGCGACTCTGAATTATCGAAGAATGCATTTATGTAATTCTTGATTAGCTAATAAGAATTTATTATATGCTTAATTTTTTGTGGAATAATGAAGTACTAGACAAGACGTGAAACACCCCATCTTTGTGTGCATTATTTTAAGGTTCTGGGGAGCTGAGCTCAGTAGTTCATTCCTGAAGTGGGAATAGAACTTCCTAAAAGTCACTGTGAGACATCTTCCTCAGATTTTACTTTTCTGATTATGTGGCCTATTTTCAATCGGGAAATGCAGAGAGACACAAAAATTACAAGAAATCTTACTAGCCAGAATTAACCCACTGTTTCCATTTTAAGGACTCTTTCCATAAATAAATCTCAAATTAGAATTAAGCCAGACATAAGTTGTATAATTTCAGGGTTTTTCCCCTCAACAATGTATTTTTAGCTTTTTTTACTTGCCCTGAGTATTTTCTGCAACATGTTTGTTTTTGTTTGGGGGCCACCTTTATTGAGACTTAATTCCTACCTAATAAAACTCACCAATTTTAAGTGTACAGGCTTTGCCCTTTGACAAAATGCGTATTAAATGCATAGCTAAAATTTTTATATTTTTCTTTTTGACTGTAAAATACATAGCCATCACCATTTTGATGACAGAATATTTTCACTACTCCAGAAAATCTCCTCATGTCCCTTTGTAGTCAACCCCCGCTCCAGGCTTGGCACTCATACATTGTCTTTTCTAGAAGTCCACGCAAATGGAGTCACGCAGTATGTAGTCTTCCATGGCTGGCTTTTTTTTTTACCTAGCATAAACTACAACTTGAGCTTTAGAGACTGTCCGGTAATCCATTATCTCAAGTACTGTGATTTATTTAACCAGCCTCCTGTTGTTGGGTTCCACTATGTTGCTAATATAAGTAATTTTGTGATCAACTCGTTATATAACTTTCTGTGTACCATGAACTAAGAAAAACTAGTAGTATAAATGAAACAGGTTAGCATATCTATTGAAATAGTTCAGAAACACCAGAACAGAATTTGGGGAATTACATGGTTTGAGTTTTTCAAACATGTGATACTTGTTTCTGTATCTTATTTTACTTAATACTGTATTTTCAAGTTGCATCCATTTGCCTGCGGATTCCTCAAATTTATCTTTCTTTATGGCATAGTACTCCCCTGTATATAAACAGCAGGTTTTCTTTATCCCTTCATCTGTTGATGGATATATACACTGTTTCTAAGGTCTAGATGTTAAAGATTGTATCTGTTTGTTTCTTTTTTGTAAAAGTCTTTTTTGTCTTACGAAGTTTATGCTGAGTAACATTTTGGCTCTATTTTTTTTAATTCACTGTGTAGCCCAGGGTTACCTTGAACTCACAGAGTGCCACATTTTGGCCATTTTCTTAAGACCATAGGTTGGGTGTGGTGGGTGGTGCATGCCTGTAATTCCAGCACTCAGGAACTGAGGTAGGAGGGTCACTTCGAGTTCAAGGCCAGCCTGGACTACACAGTGAGTTCAAGGCCAGCCTGAACTACGTAGCAAGACCTTGTCTCAAAATGTAAAAAAATAAATAAATAAAATAAATTTTGCATGCTTATATCTGGTAATCTGAACAACTACTTTGAAGATAACAATATACAATATAATAACCATTGTTAATTTCCTATCATCTTGCTTTGAAATTTTGTATTTCTATTTTTTTTATAGAAGAGCGCCTTTTATTTTCTTTATTAACACCTATGTGTGTTAAGAAACAGTAAACTCATTATGTATTGACCTAAGGACTGTAACATGTTTGCATTACGACTATTTTCTGGGGAAAAAAATGCACATCTGTATCTCTAATTATATCCTTAGGAGGAATTTCTAAAAGTTAAAATTTCCAGTCAAGAGGTAATGAACATTTTAAGGCCTTAAATTTATCTTGCCAGTTTGTCCTTCACTCCGGTTCTCCCATATTTCACAGTTATCACCACTGATGATGATCTTTCTATCTAGGAAAATGTGGCCTTATTTTTTTTTTCTTTTCTTATTGAGGCAAGTTCTCACTGTGTAGTGCAGGCTGGACTTGAACTCACTGTGTAGCCCATGCTGGCCTCAGACTCGCAGTGACCCTCCTACCGCAGGCTCCCAAGTGCTGGGATTAGAGCCATGCACCACCGTGCCCAGCAGAAGTAGACACTTTTTGACATGTTTCTCTTAGTTTGTGTCTTAAGCTTTTCTTTTTTCTGAGGACAGAACTGCCACAAGATATTCAAGAGCCTATTCAGTGGTCATAAATTGAGTTGATCAGTTTATGAAACCTCATGTACTAGGACAGTGCTTTAAACTTCAGTGTGCTTGTGAGTCAGGGAGGGGTTTTGTTAAAATGAAACTTCTGAGTCCTTATGTTTGGGGTAGAATGTGAGGGTCTGTGGTTTTAAACAGGCTTACAGTAAAGCTGCTGATCTGTGGACCACATTTTGTGTACCAAGGTGCTATAACATTATGTGGTTGATACTATGTTCCTGAAGTTTCACTAGCATAGAGATATCTTTGTGCTAAAATATGCAATGAGGGCTGGACATGGTGGTACACACCTATAATCCCAGCACTTGGGAGGCTGAGGCAGGAGGAGCATTGCGAGTTTAAGGCCATCCTGGGCTACAAAGTGAACTCAAGGCCAGCCTGACCTGCATAGTGAGACCCTGTCTCAAAAAGACCAAAAAAAAAGCAGTGAAATGCATTAAAATAAATGTATGTGATATAATTTCAACTATATGATTGTGTATGTGTGTTAAAGAAAGTCTGGAAAGAGATACACAGTCATACTAAGTGAAGCTATTACTGCTGTTAGGGATTTCCACTTCCACCTCTGCACTTGACAACACTGCAGTCAGCCTGTCTGTCTTCTAGAGAAGCTAACGGACATTCTTGTTCTCTTATTTTCCAGTAGTACTAATGAAGATGAGGATCTGAATCCAGAACAGAAAATAGAAAGGGAGAAGGAAAGGCGAATGGCTAACAATGCCAGGGAACGCTTGCGCGTGCGGGACATTAACGAGGCGTTCAAAGAGCTTGGCCGGATGTGTCAGCTTCACTTGAAGAGTGAAAAGCCCCAGACAAAACTCCTTATTCTTCACCAGGCCGTGGCCGTGATCCTTAGCTTAGAACAGCAAGTCAGAGGTGAGTAGGTCCAGCGGGGACCTGTCTCCAGTTGTTCCTTCACTTGGGAAGCTTGTAAGTTCTCCCAGCACTGCTCCCGTGGTGTTGTCGGGATCCGCTTTCCCCTGCAGTTGTCTCTCCTGTCTCGCTGTGTCGGTGAGCATCTGCAGGTTTACTGCTTCCCGCAGAGCAGTCAGTGAGCCTCCAGACAAGGTGGCAAGCAGGCGGCTCTGCCTCTGCTCGGCAGTGGTGCCTCTGCACTCGCGGGCTGCCCCTCCCTGTCCTCCCTGCTCCTGCCCGTCTCCCTGCTGTTCCATGTCTGGTCTACTGTGGAGCGCCTCCAAGGTCCTGCTGGTTCATAGATGCCTAGCTGTGGCTCCTGAGGGCTTTGCCAGACGTAAAGAGCCGAGTCAGTAAGGCCTTGGGCGTCTTCGCGACGCTGGTTCAGAATTCCATGGCCTCGGCTGATGTGCGTGGCCTTGCCTGTGTCTGTCTGTCCCTGAGGGCCAGAGTGTGGTGTGTAAAGATTCGTGTGCTGCTAATTTAGGCAACTGCCCTGTTTTATTTTTCATGAAGGTTAATGGATTTTTGAAGAAGTTTTGAAACTTCATTTCTTCAGTGTACATTTATCCCATTTGGTGCCTGGGCTAGCCAGCTCTATCCTAGACCTTGTCACCCAGTAACAGAAGTTTCCTGCCTTTCAGGGTTCCACCATCAAGCTTATGTTTTGGTAGATGCCTGTATATCTTGTCAGAGTTATAACTCTCTTATCCCAAGCCCTACGTCAGGGAATTCATAAACAGTACCCTGGATTCCAGGGCCTACCAGTGGTCTTTCTTCAGTGAGAGCAATTCTTTCTTACTTAGTGAATGTTTATGTTAAATCTTACTTGAAAAAGCTTAATAAAAGTGTAGGCATCCGCAGATGCGGAAAAGTCCAACCATAAGCTCTCAGTACTGATCACAGGAAAAAAAGGCCTTAGGAAGTCAGAGAGAACATAAACAAACTTTCAGGAAATCAGATAGTAATAATTCATTCACCCATCCACTTCTCGCCAATATATTTAATGTATAGGATGACGTGTGTCTTATTTTTGTGGGTAACCAAGCTACTGTTAAAACCAAATAATTGCTAGGCCTGTTATAAAACCCTGAAGTATCTGTAGAGGGAAGTGTTACTGAAACTTAATCTTCAAGGAGATGCAGGCTGTGCAAGTAGCAAGGCACCTGTGCTCAGGAGTCCAGTGTGCTCGCCCACCACCCTGACGCCACACAGCCAGATGCTGTTGAGGTTGCTGCCTGCATCTGCGATAGGAGAGTCTTACTGTCTTCTCAGAAGGGCGTCCAGGGTTTGTCCTAGCACAGCACCTTTCCCCTACCCTGTGTTAGAGCCGGATACAGGGTAATTTGTGTTCTTGAAAACATTTTAAGAGCAGAGATGCCTACTTAGATCCACGCTGTTCACGTGAGGAATGTGTTTGAAATAAGGTATACAAACTGCACCGTCTGAGTGAACCTTACGCCTTTCTAACACTTGACATTGCAGTGGTGCTATGGTGGCATCGGAGAGAGTGTGGCCTCTGGCTCCTCCAGCTGCCTGTAAATTTCCTGATCACACAGTTCTGAAAACTCTGGAGAGTCTTCCACAGTTTAGAGTGTGAACAGATCTACTGAACTGTAACTTTATTGGGGATAGCCTTGGTACTCAGAAAAGCCTGTTTTCTTCTTTTTCTCTCTGGGCTACAGCCTGAAGCCTTCATCTTTATCTTGTGGTCCTAGAATTACTGAAAGACTCTAAAAGGTGTTCTGAGAGCTGCAGGACAAGCTCAGAACCTCTGCACAGCTGCAGCTTCGACAGCACCTTCCATGCTCGTTGTCGACAGTGTTTTTTCCTAGATTTTGTCTCCGGCAGGTGGTGGTGGTGATGTTCTTTTCCCAGTCCTGAGGATTGAATCCTGGGCCTTCACACTAAGCTATGTCCCCACCCCCACCCCCTTTTCTTGAGACAGGGTCTCATGGATCACCCAGGCTGAGCTTGAATTTATAATTGTCCTGCCTCAACCTCCCAGAGTGCTGGGATTGCAGGTGTATACCACATCACCCAGCTATGTCCAGCAGTTTCTATGAAGACACGCACTTTGTGGGTTTTGGGGGGGTTTTTTGTTTGGTTGGTTGGTTGTTTTTTTGGGTTTTTGTTGTTGTTGTTGTTGTTTTCTGGTACCGGGAATCGAACTCACGACCTTGTGCTTGCTAGGCAGGCACTGTGCCTCTGAGCTGAACTCCCAGCCCCGAAGACACACGCTTTGTTCACAGGCCCTACTTTGGGCATCGTCTGAACTCTGGCTCCTGGTTTAGGATGGCTCTCAAGTACTTTTTCTGATTAGCCCAACCTGTCCCCGCTGGATGAGTGCTTACACCAGGGGGCAGCCCATCCCAGGTGCAGCGGTCATGAGGAAGAGGAAGAGTGGTTTATCTGCTAAGCAGAGTTCTCTAAGTCAGAGTTTTCCAGGGAACATTTTGTGTTTTAGTGCCCGTAGCAAACCAGCCTGGTCCCTGCCATTGCCAGTTTAAACCTGTCCAGTGGCATGATTATTGTTTTAACAGTACCGTTAGCATTTCTAGTCCCTACCACACTGCACTTGTTATCTTCAAGTTTGTGCTCAAAGCTTTTCTCAGAATTCAGTCAGGGGTCACATTTTCTCTTCACAAGTCAGCCCAGTCAGCTTTTCTGATAATAATTTATGGACAGGAGAATGGTTAGGTTTTTATTTCTTGGTCTTCAAGTGAATCTGCAGAGAAACAGGCTTGGATAGCTGATCTCAAAATCACCTAAGGCTTTTGTTGTTGTTGTTTTTCACATTTCCAAACCACACTCTAGGAGATTATCCAGCTTGTTAGATTCCGTATATGCACGGATAGTACTCGTACTTTTTCCTGATGCCCACTGAAGGAGTAAGATGTTAGCCACAGGACAGAAGAGAGAGGAGACAGTGTCCAGTGAGGCAGCAGGAACCCACAGCGAAGGGAAAGTAGCTGGAGTCGTGGTGACTACCTTATTTATATCAAAGTACTGGAAGTCCTTAATCAAAGGTGAGGATCCAATCTTGTATTGTAATGATGAAAAAAGGTCTGAAGCTCAAATACATCATCATAAAATTTCAGAGTATCAGAGTTCAGTAGAATATACTAAAGCTTCTGGAGACAAATCCAAGGACTTCGGGGACAAAGGAACAAGAGTCAGAATAGCATTAGAGTTCTGAACGTTAGTCCTGGATTCCAGGAGATCGTAAAAGAGTACCTTCAAAATGCTGAGGAAGAAAGTTTTCAACCTAGAGTTCCATACCTAACCACACAGGTAATCAAAGGTATAAATAAAAGAAACTTCAGATATACAGAGACTTTAAATTTTTCTTCCACATACACTGTCTTACTAAGCACATGGAAGATAGGCTTTGGCCAAATAAGAACATAATCAACAAAAGACACAGGCATGAGACCGAGGAAGCAAAGGATCTAACACAGCAAAGCAGAAAATGTCCCATTACAGGAGCTACTAGACCTGGCAATACCCAGGCCCTTGAAAATAGAAGATACTGCGCTGTAGAAGAAAGGTTTCCTGAGAAAGGAAATGGAGCTAACTGATGGTACGATGTGTTTGAGGTCTTATTATCTTAGGAAATACATTGATAGGCATTTGTTAGGTCTTGTTAGAGCACGAGAGGAGGGAGGTTAGCATTACTACAAATTTTTAAAAAATGACAACTGTGAACTATAGGAAAAGGAGCATATGTATGAGTAAGGAAACGATCACTGTAAAGTCCTTGATTCAGCAAGTGTCTCCACATAGTCATGGTAACATAAACGTTTTCCTACTCATCATAATTTACAAGTGATCGTTGAGTTAATCAAAACAGTTCTGTTCTAATGATGTTGAAAAGATGGTATTATAATATGGCCAAGTCCTCAGCTATGCCAGAAGTCAGTAGATTGACTTTTCCTAATGGAAATGCCCTGCAGGTAGTGTCTGACTTCTACTGAACATCTGTATCAGACCTTTCTGTGTATTTAACACATTTGCCATTGGCTGGTCACATGCTGTCTTGGTTACTTTTCTCTTGTTGCTGTGACAAAATACCTGATGCCCAAAATTAGGGAAGGAAAGGTGTATTTCACTTAAGTTTGTGGAGGTTTCAGTCCATACTTGGCAGGTTACAAGGCAGAGTGGCACATGGCAGAGGGCTACAACTCATGGCGGCAGAGTACAGCAAAAGCAACAAGCACTAAGAGGGAGGAATGGCCGCAAGCAGCCTCTTCCTCTCCCTTACATATGCAAACTGTCCACCCCAGAGCAGTTGGAGCTCTCACACTCATAATCAATCAAACTCTAAAAGCCCGCCCCGTGACCGCATGAGGCTTTGTGGGGGACACCCAGACACAAACCATAACACATGCATCACCTGGTATAAAAGCAGTATCAGCCCTTGCTCTTCGGATCAAAGCTGCATGTACAGGAGGTCCCTGACTTACAAACATTCACGTTACAAACTTTCACAGGTATACTATATAAAACTTTATCAGACTTAGAAAGGAATCCAACTTACAAACATTCTCCCAAAATGGAGCTTGTTCATAAGTGAGGGACATACTATACTTTGTATTTCCCAGATCCTGCTGTAGTATTCTGGTTCTTCCAGCCATAAGAGTCCTTTTCTGACTATCAAAATCTTGTCACGTTGTTGAGCTTTTGGTTCTGTTCCTATCTGTTTTAGTCCTGCCACTTAGTGGTGACAGAGTCATAGTTAGCCAACAGCAGTGTTTCCTGGTAGCAAAAATGTGAGGCTGTTTCACTTGAAAAACTCCCAAGTCTCACTTCGTCCCCTGTCCCACTCGTCACTACATGAGTTCATTGCCTCCAAAGGGCCATGACGCCTGTGCAAGACAGGCTCTTCTTAGTCGTCAGAGGTATACAGACATCTGTTGATAAACCAGCTCCTCAGTCAGGGTGAAGCTCTTGGCCCTGAGTTTGATCTCTAGCACCACCAAAAAGAAAAAGCAGCTCTTAATATTTGTTCGCATGATGATGAGCAGGCCATTCACATATTAAGCATTCTGATAGGTAGTTCCTTTTTTTCTTCATTAATCCTCCTCACAGTTATACAGGCTTTATGTCTTTTCATAAATGCAGCGGTTTAGAAAAGGAGAACCCTACAATGAAATTTCATGAACATGCATCAGTGATATTAATAGAAGCAGTTGAGTTTGCCATAATGAAGCTCTTTATCTACTTTTTTAAAACTCTGTTGTTTGTTTTAAAACTATTAATGTATACTAAAATAATACACATTCAAATACATTTTTACTTACAAGGAGAACACTAAAATATAGGCTGTGCTATGGTGCATTTAACTAGGCTCTCACTTCAAGAAAATCTAACATAAACCATAACTTCTGTAAAATACGTTTTCTTTACAGATTAATTTTAAGTGATCTCTTTATGTTCTATTCAATAGAGCATTTTTAATAAATTTATAAAAATATGTGCAACAGTTTTCAACCTGTACTCTATGTCATAATGAGAAACAAAAGACTGTACCTAAAGCAGTCACCAGCTAGATATCTTTTTTCTTTTTGCCATACTGGGGCTCAACCCCAGGGATGCTCTACATCCTGAACCCTTTTTATTTTTGAGACAAGGTCTTGCTAAATTGCTGAAGCTGACCTAAAACACACTTATCCTGAGTAACTGAGGTGAGAGCCATCCAGCATTAGATGTCTGTACTACCCTCTTAGTAACACCTCAGTGATAGAAAGAATGACTTAGTCATTTTGCTCTGCATGTTCATCAGAGTAGCGATGAGCAGGGCGTGCACCAGCTACCTCTCTCCTTGGAGTTGGTGCATTTCCTGCAGAGGAGTAGCTGAGGATTTTATCATTTTCTAAACTGGTAAGACTAGGTGGTGATGCCTCCTGTGGGTACATAGAAGGTACCCACCTTCACCCCAGTTCATGCAGCATATCTTAGCAATACTCTGAAAAGACTTGGTTAATAATAGTGGCACTCACCAAAACAGTTAAGTGAAGAGTAGTATGTTTATTTAGGCCAAATAAAACCCTAGGGGACTAAATCATAAGCAGAAAATACAGCGAAGAGTCAGTAAGAGTTGAAGTCTGGAGGCTTGTGTGACGCTGTCTTGTGAGCGCCTGCAGTGCCTCTGTGTGATGGCATCTAGTGTGCAAATGAGATCCAGAGACCGATGGCCCCACAGGAAGAGAACGAACAGCCGCTTACGCAGCTCAAGACCTACAGTGTCTCGTTCATTCCTTAATCGCCGTAGTGATGATTCTTTCTTCCTGTTCTAGAGAGGAATCTTAACCCCAAAGCAGCCTGCCTTAAGAGAAGGGAAGAAGAAAAAGTCTCTGCCGTATCGGCAGAGCCACCAACCACGCTGCCAGGAGCCCATCCTGGGCTTAGTGAAGCTACCAACCCTATGGGTCATGTGTAAACGTCAGCCAGGTAAGTGTGCTTTGAGAAGAAAATGCAAAGAAACCACTTAAGGTCCATCTTCACTCGAGCTAGAACTTTTGAACAGAATTCAAGCACTGATGCTTGTAAAGGGCACGTGTAATTTGGGATGTGATAGTTTGCCTTGCTTTTGTGTAATCAGAGCTGGTGCCATCTCATACCAGATTACTGTTCTCTTGGACGTGTGCCAGGATCTCATGTACTCACGAATGTCACTGTGGTCTGAGAGAAAACAAGGCCATGGTTCATCCACCAGAAAACGCTGCTCCCGCTCACAGCCCGCACCCTCGTGCTCGGGCGGGCCTGACTGCATCAGGCGTTGTCCCGCTGCTTGCCTGCGTCTTCTCTGGGTTGACTTGCCCAGGCAGGAGCCACATAGCTCTCCACGTGGGTGGGAAATGCGGGTCTGTGATACCTGTGTGAGCACAGCATCTAGCCTCTGGGAGCTGTTCACAAATGCAGAGATGTTAGGTGATGAGTCACCCCACCCTTCTTCCTGGTGGAATTGTACTCGTTTTGTTTTGTTTTGTTTTATTTTGGCTTTGGTTTTGTTGTTTTTGGTTTTGGTTTTGGTACCGGGAATCGAACTCAGGACCTTGTGTTTGCCAGGCAGACACTGTGCCACTGAGCTATCTCCCTGGCCCTGGAAGATTATTCTTTTGATCTTCAGAATACATCTGAAAGTAGTTAATTTCATAAAGGTAGTTATCTGGTTTCACCTGATAACCTTCATGTCTTTATAGAACTGGAGAATAGATTAAATTAAACCCAGTAAGAGCCAGGCCTGGTAGGACATACCTATAATCCTATCACTTGTGAGGCTAAAGCAGGTGGATTGCCAAAGGTTCGAGACCAGCCTAAACTGCATAGCAAGACTCTGTCCAACATATAAAACATTTTCCGGGTATGGTGGGGCACACACGTAATCCTAGGACTTGGGAAACTGAGGCAGGAGGGTTGGTGTGAATTCAAGACCAACCTGGGCTCCATGATAAGAACTTGTCACAAAAAGTAAAAATAAAAAAATGTTTTAAATAAATAAAGCTACTGGGCGTCAGAGAAACCACTGCTAAATTCAGAATGGCTAAGAAATGACCACTGGTTATAAAACTACAAACATTTGCCAAGTACACTGCTAGGCACCAGAAGTCCTGCTTACTTGGGAGGCTGAGTCAGGATCACTTGAGTCCAGGAGTTTGAGACTAGCCTAGGCAGCATAGCAAGACCCCATGCTGCAGGGAGGGGCTACAGAATAAGGCCAGGTCACTTTGATTCTCTTCTGTCCGTAAGAGTTCTGCTACTAAGCTGTGCTGTGTTGTTTCAAGACTCTTCCTAGGCTGTTCCCATTGTAAGTGGTCCAAACGGAAAATTTCAGTGTTAGTATGTGTAATGTGGGAAGATTAATAGGGACAGTGTTTGTACGAAAAGTTTCTTAGTAAACTAATAGTCTGCAGTGAGGACTTCTTGTGGACTAGGAACTGGTGCCAGTGTGAAAGTAAGTATGGGCTGCTCGCTGCCTGCAGAAACCTGAGTCTAGAGGAGGTGGGAGAGAGCTGTGGGCGCGGCATGGGGCGGGACGCAGTGTAGTGCACCTTGGCCTTGCCTCGCTGCCCAGCCAGCAAGCCAGCGTGGGATGTAAAGAGCCTCGCAGCTCAGGCATTGCCACCGGGAGTGTTGCCAAAATTAGTGTTTGCGTACACGCCAAAACTTTCGTAGAACTCTTCTCAAATCTTAGCCCACTCATCAGGTGAAACTGTTCGAGTGCTCCCCGCTTTTTAGAGGGCTCACTTTCTGTGGTGTCAGTTACTCACAGTCCACCATGGTCACACGTTACATGGGGAATTTCAGAAGTAAGCACTGCGTGTCTTCAGTTACATGCCGTTCTGAGCAGTGTAATGAAATCTCCCTGTGCCCCGCCTGGGGCGACTCCTCCCTCTGCGCGGTGTGGCCACGAGCAGCTGGGTTGCTTATCACTCCCATCTGGCTGCTGCGTGCTTGTGCTCAGGCGGTCTGTGCTCTGTCTTATGATGGCCCCAAAGCACAAGCGCATTACAGTGTACCGTTACGGTGACCATATTTTGTTATTTATTGTGGTCCCTCTCATTGTGCCCAGCGTATAATTGACCTTCATGCTAGGTACATCTGTATAGGGAAAGGCACAGTGCGTGGGTGATGTGCTGCTGCCCACAGTTTGAGGCGGCAGGTATCCACTGAGGACCTGGGCGTATTCCCGCGGGATGAGGGCGGTCCTCCTTTGGAAAAGGGAGGACTGCTAATACCTTAGTTACTTAGACTGCTCATTTATGGTAAACGAAGGTGTAAATGAAGAACGCCAGCTTGGCTTATTTTGGGGAGGGGGTGGTGTGTGTTTGCAGCCATTAAGTACTAACTGGCACTATTCTCTCCCCGCTGCAGTTCCAGTTATCAGTAGGCTAGACAGAAGGTGACCTCTCCTCAAAAAGACTTGGACAACTCAGATTATCTGAAGACACAAACCTGACAGGAGGGAGAAGAAAAAACAAAACACTTGAAGCAAGAAACTCAAATGTACCTATGATCAAAGCAATTGGTCAACACTTCCATCAGAAGTGAAGATAGGAAGCTCACCAGATAGAGCGTCAGCCCGTGAGATGTTTGCAGCCTGTCATTTTGTTGCAAGCAGTGTGTCGCTTCTGCACAATCAGAGACTGTCTTGATCTCTCCACTCACCGTGGAAGTTGCCTTGTGCCTAAACTGAATTGACAAATGCATTGTAACTACAAATTTTATTTATTTCTGTGGAACTGTAAGGTCTACATATAAAGGGAAAAGGTTGATGAGGAAAGCTGAGGTACGTTCAGCTGACGCCAGCATTTGTTAAAGCTGTTCCCATGCAGAGAACAAAACGGTGACAACCATTGGCCCTTAGCGTTCCCAGCACATCTGTGAGTGTCTTAAAAAGGAAGGGAAAAGTCCTTCGTTGCCCTCTCCTCTCCTTTTTGCCATATGAATAGTGTTCTCCATGAAATAGGAAAATATTACTTGGTATAGCATTTTCTCGCTCGGATTTTTCATTCATCTTTATTTTCTCTTTGCGGGTATTATATTTGGTCTCTGAATCTGACTGGTTATGGTCACAGTCCAGAATCATCCGTGTGGCCTCATGTGCCTTGCACATGTACCCATGTGGTGAGCAGAGACCATCTGTGACCACAGCCTAGCTAAGATTTTAAAAGGGAAACTTTTCCCTAGGTTTTCCCCCAAATAAACACTGCTTTATTTCTAACAACTCCAAGAGTTCTCAGCCCTCTAGGTTTCATACTAAAGCTTGTAATAACGAGAAGTGTAAATTACAAGGGAAGGATTTACTTTTTATAAATTGCTTTGTCTCCCAAGCAGTAAGCACTACATAATATAGTACTTGTAAAGTGTCAGCTGTAAGTAAAAACAAATTTCATTTAAAATACAAGATGATTTTTCAGGATATGATTATGGTGAATAAAGCAAGACCCGACAGTCACCAAAGGTAGTGTGACAAACAGACGCACTGCTGTGAGCTCATTGCCTGAGGGAGTCCAGGAACATTGGTCAAAGGTCTCCTCCTTACCTTTCTTCTCCGGCCTTTGGGTGGTCAGGGGAGAATCTGGTGGGTGATTTCATCCACTGCATGCCATCAGACCCTACGCCAAGGTGAGCCAGGTCAGCAGTGAGCCAGTACTTGTCACTTCATCGTAACCCTGTGCGTTAGGCACCACTCTAACCCTTCAGACATAAGAATGACTTTAACTTCCATGAAATCTGTCTTCCACCACAACAAACCTGGGAGAGAAATACATGCTAAACAAGGTTGTCTGGCTTAGTAATTCTCAGAGCCAACATCAGCAAGGGCAATCAGCACACAGAAGAAAGAACCCAAATCACTATGTAACTTAAAGATTTCTATTCATTTGAAAGAACAAAAACAATTAAGGCAGAACTTCAGATCCTCCAATCAGGATGATTTCCTAACAGATCAGCTGTTTGTGAACTTAGTGGACTTTTGGTTACCTTAATTTGCATATATTCTCCAATTACATCAGACTCTATCTGTGGCCTTGTTCTTCATTTCAGTGTTAATCGGCTAAACGAAGTTGTTGCTTATGATGTGTGAGTGAACATACAGTACTGCCTGGCCTTTTTCTTCGGAGCTTGTTGTCTTTTTCGCTATATTAGACTTTGCAGTATGCCCAGAAGCTTTCCTTCATAAAATAGAAAGAAAAAAACATTTGGCTTATTTTTCACTGTAGTTAGTCTTTTATACAATAATCTTGTAAGAAAATTTCTTGAATTCTAAATATTACTCTTTCTAGATTTTTGAAATCGAAAGTTTTCAGTAAAAAGTTTCTTACTTTATTTTATTATATTAGGTAGTAAAAATGTAGGGTTATTACCATAACCTGTTCATTAATATCAGAAATTTACAATAGCATTTTAAGACCATAGTAGGATTCTAGCATACCGTGTAGTACCTATGGAGTATTCTAAGAGCTAACGTTCGAGATGAATTGCTTCTCATCTTGTTCTCCAGTTTCCATTGTTGATTTATTGCAGATTTGTATCCTGTGTCAAATGCAAGGTATTATTGATAAACTTTTCAACCAGCAGCAAGAAGTTCAAATTTTTTTCTGTCACTGTAACAGAGAACACAATATGTATATAACATTTATGTAGCAATAAATGTGCCATCTTTTTTTTTTTAACATAGTAAACTAGTGAGTTTTTTACATTCCTTCTTCCAGTCTCACTCCTCCGGGACAGGCTCTGCTGCAGGACAGGTGGGCAGTGGGGCTGGGGGCGGTGCCAGCCTGGGCTTCTCCAGGTGGCAGGACCCTCGTCCTGCCCACCACAGGTGTGCTCCTGAGGCCCCTCGCTGAAGGCTGAGCAAGGAGCCCTGAGGACCAGGCCTCCAGGCCCTGGCCCAGCGCTTCTCTTGGTGAATTTGAAACACACCATTCACATTGGGAGCCCAGCAAATCATTTTACTTCTTACGGATTTTAGTGAAAATAAACTTTTTAGTTTAGTTTGTACAGAGTGACTAAATAAAAAGTTCTGTCCAAGAAGAAAATACGTTAGTACTGAAATGAAATCTAGAGAACATCTCATCAGCCACTCATTAATAGATATATAAAAACTATGGCTCAGGGTGTATGTCTCCAGAAATACGTAGTTAGAGCAGATGGGGACACCTAAAATCCTTCCTCCAAAGCCTTCCTGCCTTCGCTTCGCTTTACAGATTTCTAGGCCAGTTCTGTTCAGTGGCTTCATTTCTCTGTTTTCATTCTGTTTTCTCTAGTACACAGACTTTTCCAGTTTTGAAACTCAGACTTTAAATAAGTGTCACAAGAGGTGTGTGTGTCTGTGTGTGTCTCTGTTTCTGTGAGAACCTAAAGGGTTTTAGCTTTGGCATCAAGCAGTCTTTGGATTAAATTCAAGCTTAACATCTAATTAACTCCATTTCCTTCTTTGAAAAATGGAGATACATGTAAGGATTATATAAGCATCAAATGAAACAATGTATGGAAAACTTACCAGCATTACTGTCACATGGTAATTACTCAATAAATGATAAATATTTTTAAATAAATAGATTATAACCAGTTCCCAGGATGATTCCTCTGAAGCCAGCTGCCAAACGAGTTATTAACCCCTAGAAGATGTCAGCCTATCAGCAGGAGTCTGCTTTTCTGCAGCAAACCAATGAAACATTGCATTTCTTTTCGGTGATTCCCCCTGGCCACACTTCAGGGGACTTTTTTCCTAAACCTTACGTTTTAAGAGAATGAGCCAGCCACTTGTGTCCAGTCACACTGTGAGTTGGCAGTTCCGTTCCTTTGGGTCCTCAGGAAGCACATGCCAGGGTGGAGTTAGATGCAAAGGGTTTATTGGAAGGAGAGAGGAATCAGGATAGGTAGGAACAGCCTTCGGCCCGTGATTCAGAGCTGATAACTAAAAGAAGAAAGGAACGAAAGAGAACTATGTGGGGAGAGTCTCAAACTGCCGTGCAGCTCAGAGAAGCCTCGGCAGCCCAGCAGATGGGTTTCAGCGCCACACTGTGTCACTAAGGAGTCTTGGGTGGGCGTGGCCAAGTGCCAGTGCCCTTGTGGTCAGCTGTTGGCCGAGACTTCCCTGGGGAGAGTGAGGCCTCACTCTGAACTCTGCAGCAGAGGTGCTGCAGCTGGAGAGTGGTGGCCAACTCTACTCCTGCGGCCGTTCTTGAAGGGCAGCCCCGGGCGTACCTGCACCAGGACCTCCGGAGACGCGCGCCTGCTCCTTCCAGAGACTGTCAACACTGAAGTCATGGAGTGAAGTGGAGCTCAGCAGCTGAAACTCAGCAGCTCAGCGGAACAAGAGCTCCAAGGTAGCAGTTCTTTACCCTCTAGTATTCCTCAGTCAGGGAGCCCTACTCTTGTTGACTAGAGGAGCGAAATTCTCTGCATTCCTGCTCTGTTCTCGGTGAGGACTGATGCCGCCTGGTGCTCTGCACAGGGCATGGGGGTACTTCCCGCCGGCCAGCCAGTGGCCTGTGCACATCTCACGGCTACCTGGCCCAGGACGTCCCCAACGTCTGCAGTGTTTTGCATGTTTCTGGGGAGTGCCCACAGCCCCAGAGCCTCAGCACTATCCTGGAGTACACTCATAATAGAAATACCCTACTGCATTCTTCCTGCCCCGATTAATTAGTGTCAGAAGACAGTAAGAGAGGATTTTCTCTTCCCTTTGACCAAGACTGCAGTCCATCCACACCGACAGGTTCTTGCTGCTATCTGGGGCTGGGTCTAAGGGTCAGTCCTCCACTCAACTAGGTCCCCAGCTAAAATTTCTCAGGGGCTCTGAGCCAGTTTGTCCTTGGACATGGTAAGCAGCATGCCCAAGGCCACCAGACCTTTCAAAACCGGGAAAATGTTTGCAACCTGAACGAATACTGTGGTGTCAAAACAAGAAGCTGCAAAATGAAATTATTTTGAAAAACAGTCACAAAAACCATATGAAAATTTGTAACTAAATGTCAGACTTGAGCTTCTTTTAACATAACTTGACTACAGCAAATTAGGTATAGGAGGGATGTACCTGAACACAATAAAGATAATCGATGAGAAGCTCACAGCCAACATTTTCAGCAGTGAAAAGCTGCAAGATTTCCTCTAAGATTGGAAACCAAACAGTGATATCCCTTCTGTTGAGCATGGTCCTGAAGTCCTAATGAGCAATTACAGGAGAGAACTATAGAAGACATCCAGGTTACAGGGCCAACTGTCCCTGCTTTTAGACATCGTTTTTGGGGGGCAGGGGCTGTACTGGGGATTGAACTCAGCCTTCTGTGCACCAGGCAAATTCCACCCCTCAGCTACGCCCCCAGCTGTAACATGGCTTTACCCATTAAAAAACATGGTGGTACCATAAAGAGACTTAGAACAAACAAACAGAAAAATTGCAGGACACAAAAATCAATGTAAGAAATTATTAGCATTCTACACACTAACAATTATGTGAAAAATCAAGAAAAAAAATCTTACAACGGCTACAAAGTAAAACTATCCAAGGAGTTGAAAGGCCTGCACACCGAAAACTATAACATATTGATAAAACAAACTAAAGAAACAGAAGTAAAATGGAAAAGTATCCCATGTTAATGGATTGGAAAAATTTGTATTACTAAAATATTCTTACTATCCCCAGAAATTTACTGATTCAATGCAATCCCTACCAAAATTCTAGTAACATCTTTCTCAGAAATAGAAAAAATAATCTTCAAGATTGTATGAAACTACAAAAGTCCTCAACCAAAGCAGTCGAGCAAAAACAACCAAGTTTACTGCACCACAGTACTTCAAAATATAATGAAACTAACCAGGCACAGTGGTACACACTTGTAATCCAGCTACTCAGAAAACTGAGGCAGGAAGGTTCATAAGTTCCGATCCAGCTGGACTTCACAGTGAGATCTGTCTCAGACACATGTGTTACAAACCTATAGTAAAATGCTATAGTATTGGCTTTAACTCTTTTATATGGAAGGTTGCAAATTTTTTAATTTTAGCATGATAATCAGATACGTTACCTAGAAAAATTTCAGGAACAAGAATTTCAAGAGAAAAATTTCTATCATGTTCCATTGTTACGAGTGTTCCAAAAATGGAGCACTGTTTCATTATTGGGTTAAAAACATGCATACACCGAATGGAACAGAATAGAGAGCCCAGAAATAAACCCATACATTCAGTCAGTTGATTTTGGACCAAGACAGCAAGAACACATGCAGTGGGGGAAAGCCTGTGATAAAATGGTGGTGGAAGTCTGGATATCCATAGGCAGAACAATGAAATTAAACTCAGCTCTCATTCTGTGTACAAAAGTAAACACACAGGCTAACAACTTAATACACTGAAACTACTAGAAGAAAACGGGTGAAAAGCTATATGTCAGTAATCTGAGCAATGATTTTTTTTATATGACCCCAAAAGCACAGGCAACAAAAACAAGAATAAACAAATACGATTTTATCTATGTAAAAAGCTTGCAGCACAAAGGGAATGTTTGATAGAGTGAGGAAACAGCCTACAGAACAGAGCGTCTGTGGACCATCTGATAAGGGGTTAATATCCAAAATATAAAAGGAACTCAATAGCAAGAAAACTAACCTGCTTGAAGGGTCTGAGTAGACATTTCTCAAAAGAAGACATACATATGAGCAGCAGATATGAAAAATGCTTGAGGTCACTAATCACAGGGGAAATGTAAATTTAAACCACAGTGAGATACCACTCACACCGGAAGGAGTAATTATTATCAAAAGGACAAAAGGTACTTGTTGGCATGTATGTGGAGAAAAGGAAACCGCAGAGTCTTGGAACGTGAATTAGTGCAGCTATTAGGAAAACAGTATAGAGGCTCCACAAAGAATAATACTGCCAGTCAAGTGTGCAGCATGGACCCAGCCACTCAGGAGGCTGAGGCAGGAAGATTACTTGAGCCCATAAATTCAAGGCCAGCCAAAATAACATAGTAAGACCTTGTATCTTTTCTTAAAAAAAGAGGATGTTGCTCAGTATCAGGAGCACGCTTAACATGTGCAAGGCTCTGGGTTTGATCCCCAACACCACACACACAAAAAAGGTAACATTACCCAGCAATCCCCTTCTGGGTATTACAGATACCTAAAGAAAATGAGTCTGCATGGAAGAGAGCTACACTCATGCTCACCGAAGCTCTTTTCAAGATAGCTAAAAATGTGTCAACAACCTAAGTGTCAGCAGAGGAATGAGGGGCCATGGTGTAACTCCGCTGGCAAGCGTGAGGTCCTGAGTTTGATTCCTGGTTCCCCCCGCAAAAAAAACAGGAATGAATAAAGGGTGGTTCATGCACTAGTAGAATACTTTCGGCCTTTAAAAAGAAGGAACTGTTATTTGTTACCACATGGGTCAACCCATTATGTTAAATGGAGTAAGCCAGGCACAGAAGTGGAATGCAAATTAGCTGATCTCAAAGAACTGCAGAGCGCACTGGTGACCAGGGCTGAGGAGGTGCAGCATGCTGATCAAAGGGTACAACATTTCAGGTGGGAGCAAGTTCAAGAGATGTACTGTAAAACAGTGACTCCGGTGAACGGCAGTGTGTTGTGTGTTTGGAATTCGCTAAGAAATAGATTTGTCTCCAGAAAAATGACTTTATGAGACCATATATAAGCTATAATAACTCAGTTGGGACATTCTGCAATGTTCCCTTATTTATTTCACATCACAGGTGCAACACATACTGTTTTTAGTTTTCAATTAAAGTGTAAATACATTCATGATGCAGGAACAAGGCTTCCAAAGATCTTAAGATCACCCTGGGCTCCTTCAATTGCAGAGCCTGTCAGTTGCCACTGCTTTCAGCTCCTCTGGACAGTCTCCTTGGAAGAAAAAAAACCCTCAAGGAAGGGCCAGCCCTGAAGCTCTGAGGATCCCAGGGACAGCAGGAATTTTCTAGAGGCTCTAACCAGACCGCCCTTCTGCTCCCAGAGTGCGGTCTTCGCTTCCCCTTTCCCTGGCAGCCTTGTGGGTGGTTCCCACTGTTCTGCAGCCTGCCCACTCTGGGACAGCTGGTCTGTGCTGGGCTCGGTGGCATCCCAAGGTCGGAGCAGGTCTGTGACAGGATGTCTGCTCAGCAGGCAGAAATCCCCTTGTCCCTAGATACAGTCCAGCCATTTACCAGGGTGGGGTTTCTTCCAGCTGTATCTGCTCAGCTCAGAGAAATTCCAGGCAGACCAGTAATGAAATTTCAACGCCTGACTCAGGGCCTTGGGCGCTGTGGGGCCACCCCACACTCAGGAGGCAGTGGGCAGCAGGCACCAACGCATCACCTCCCTCTCCCAGCCACGCGCAGGCCCCCACCGTCCCCTTGTGCTCATCACAGCCTGTGCTGAAAGAAGCAGCTGTGCTTTTCAGATTCATTCAGCAGTGCGTTATTGATAACACTGATAGCAAGAGGATCTTGATCTGGCTGAGATTAATTAGCTAGATTCCCAGGGGTAATTCCTAATTAGGCACAAGAAGAAAGGAAAGGAAACACAAAGGAACTATTCTTCCCCAAGGACAGCTAACTTTCTGTCCAGGGG